ATCATGTTTCCAAAAGATACTAAGGGATTTGAAAATGCTTCTAATATAAATGTTAAGTGAAAAAAGTAGAATATAGACTGTATATACATTATGGTATCAATTTTGCACAGTGTAGAAATATGATAATATGTTATTCTTGATGGGTGAGTTGATAGTTACTGTATGTTTTTATTTTTCTAAATTAAAAAAAATACTATTTTTGATAATCCTGAAACAAAAATACACTGTACAAGATATACATTATACCTAACAATTAGTAGGTAACAGTTTTTTTCTTCACAGTATAATATCTGCAGTAGTTCAACATCAAACAGGTTCATATAGCTGGTCTTAAGTTTTTTAAGCTTCTTGTTTGATATTTATGTATTTCATATTTCTTTACTAAACTCAGCATTAATAAAGTGATTTCTAATTTAGCTTTATAGACTGTATTATTTTCCTTTATAAAACTTTTCTGTAGTTAAAATGAAGCTTATCATTTAAAGAAGCAGATTGTACTAAAACTGTTGTGTTATTACTTTGTTGTAGGAGATAATAGTATTTTTCATTACTTTATATTAGTGATTTTCAACAGGTATGCTGCAGGAATTTTTAAAACATGCAAAGAATTTAAAAACCTGACTGTGTAGTCAGGGGCCCTGACCTCTTTTCTCTTCCATTATCAAATAAAAAATGACAACAGCCAACACAACAATAGTCATCCAGCATGAATGAATCTAAATTACACTTGTTTTGAGGTTTTTTTCTTTGTCAGATGGGCAAAAAATATATATTTGGTGTGTGGCACAGAATTTTAGTAATTAGTTTATGTGTGCCATGAGATGAAAATGTTTGAAAATCACTGCTATTTAAATGTGTATATATATTTATATTTATATAGAATATTTAGTGTTTTACCAAGGACATAAGTGTGTCAAAAGAACATTCTGTAGTAGATTTTAAAATAGTATTAGCACCATTTATTTCCTGAGATCTGTGGGCTAGGTAGGAATAGTTAAATACTATGCTTAAGAATCTAAGATTTTCATCTCTACATTCTTACTTCCTTTTTTTGTTCTTATTTTTTTCATTCATTTATTTTTTGACTTTGAGTCATTTTGCCTCTTGTGACTTAATTTTGTGATATACAGTATAATACTTACTCTACATTCAACAAACATGTATTGAATAAGTACTATTTTAAGGTAATACTGGCTGTTGGGCCAACATCAATCTAATTCAGTTGCGTGACCTACAAGATAAGTATCAATAAATAATTACAGTACAATGTGATGAGTGAGAAAGGGACTGGCATTTATGCTGTAGGTTATTCATTCATTGAGTCACTGATTAAATGTTTCTGAGGCGTCACTACTTTGTTCCCGAAGGGTAGCACATAGCTCCTTTTCTTACAGGCTTATGGACGAGTCAGTTTTACAAATAGGTAACAGTAGTGTGATAAAAGAACACAAGGAAAAGGGCCTTAGGGGTGCACTAGGAAGTGATTAATTTTGCCTTGTCAAATCAAGAAAGAATTCCAGAGGAGGCAGCAGGTGACCCTAGTCTTGAAGGGTTTACATAAATGAGTCAGGCCAGAGGTAGAAAGGCATGGTGAACAGAAGGAATTCCTTGTGTATAGAACACAGGGAGGCTACTACTAGGTCTTAGCTTCAGGGTGGCTTCAAGTACATAAGAGATGGGATGTTTGTGGGAGATGAAACTGTCAAAGCAGCCTGCCATGCTACAGAGCCGGTACTTCATAAAGACAACAGTCTCTAGTGGCACCATCCACGAAACTCTCTGTGATGATGGCAGTGTTCTCTGTGCTGTCAGCTGCCGTAGCCACTAGCCCCAGGTAGCTATTGAGCTGCCAAAATGTGACTTGTGTGTCTTAGAAATTGGATTTTTGAGTTTTACTTAATTTTAGTTGTTTAAATAGCTACATCTTTTGTTTTAATCATGGTTTTTACTTTTTATATTTTATGATGCTCTAAAATTGTGGCCCTTTCCAGGACCAGCTAATTCCTAGAGATAATAAACAATTTTGCTTGTGGAGATTACCCTTCATATGCAAATCAACCAATCGAAAGCCTGTACCCCTCTACCTTAACCACCTCCTGTATCTAACTTGCCAACCAGGATTTCTCCTGCCCTAAATCACATTGGGCCAGGTGTGGAACAACTAGGGACCACCCCAATAGTCTAGAGCCCATTGATACTATTCAAGCTACCCAGTCCTAAACTGTTCACTATGCCCAACCTTGCTGTTTCCTGGAGGCCACAATAAAGGCTTGGACGCAAGCTTTCTTGTCACCTACCTCCTGAACAGCCCTGGTACTTTTCCATGTTTCCTACATGTCCCCTACTCTTGGGAACTGTAAGTAATAAACTTTTCTTTGAAGGCACTTGTCTTGATGTCATCTTACATGTGCTTAAAACAAAATCTTGGGCCCTGACCAGGTAGCCCACTTGGTTGGAGCGTCATTCTGTACACCAAAAGATTGCAAGTTCCATCCCCGTGTACAGGAGGCAACCGATAGATGTTTCTTTCTTACATCGTTTCTCTCTACCTTCAAAAATCAAGTACATACGTACATATAATCTCAGGTAAGGGTTAAAAAAATTTTTTGAATCTTGGGTACAAATCAAAACCTTGTAGCTAGTGACTACAGTATTGCACAGCACAGACTATACTATAGAGTCCCTCCCCTGCTCTAAGAAACAGTTGTCATTTCCAGAAGTTTAATTAACTCAAAGGATCTATATGCAGTGTCTCCACTTCGGTTATGATAGCAAGCCTGACAGATAAGATTCTTACTGAGCTTTATTCTGGTGACTATTTAAAATATTAGATCCCCCCCAAATTTCTACTATATAGCATTAAGTGGAATTGGCAAAATATTTTTTCAAAGGAGTCGCCACTAATTTTCTTAGTCACTTAAAAGCTAACATTTATTGTATATCTTTTATGTGCCAGGCATTCTTATAGGTGTTTTGCATATATCAGTGGGTTGTTTCATTTAGAACTCATAGCACCTTTGGCATCAAATTGTATCAAAAATTGTTTCATTTTGGAAGAGTTGGTATTAAGCCAATCTTTCTTTCAACAAACAGTTATCTCTGGAGAGTAAGTTTTGCCAAGAGAAGAACAGATAGAATGTTATGGGTTGGCCAAAAAGTTTGTTTCTGTAAGATGGCTCTAGTAGTGCTTAGTTGTCTTTAACTTCATTTGAAACAATTTTGTTAGGTTGTATTGTGGCAGCTGTCATATCAGCATGAACTAAAAAAAATCATTGGTGAATTTTTGTGTAGCCATTTTAATACTGAAGATGGAAGAAAATATGCAACTTTTTTGGCATATTATGCTTTAGTATTTCAAAAAAAGGTAAAAATGCAACTGAAACACACAAAAAATTGTGCAGTGTATGGAGAAGGTGCCATGACAGGTTGAACATGTAAAAAGTGGTTTGTGAAGTTTCTTGCAGGAGATTTCTCACCGGACGATGCTGCCATGTACAGCAGGAGAAGTTGATAGCGATCAAATCAAGACATTAATGGAGAGCAATCAGCTTTATACCAGATGGCAGATAGCCGACATACTCAAATGTCCAAATCAATAAAGTAATGGGTAAAGTGAAAAAATGTGCTTTTTATTTTATGAAAAAGACTAAATGGACTTTTTGGCCAACCCAATTTATCTGTTGGATTTGAATCATGATGACTGAGAACACGCTTTGGACTTACTGTCTTAGACTAAACCTGCTTAAGCTACTATTTACCCACATGAAAAATGGTAATAATAATGGTACCTACTAAATACAGTGTTGAAGCTAACAAACTATTAAATGAGATCATAATATTTGTACTCTCACCATAGTCTAGTTCATTATCATTAACATTTATTAATATGCCTTGGCACTTAATCTTCAGTTTTTCTCTACTAATCTATTTTTACATAGTGCTTAGCAAGGTATCAGGTAGGCCCTCGGGGAAGGATGTTAAATGATAACTCTTTATGGACAGAAAGGTTCCTTAGGGAGCCCAGCAGAGGCTGCACAGTACTAACAGTTCATACATACATGGGGAAACATTTATCCTAGTTTCCTGGTGTGTTTGTCTCCAGAGTCATAGGGACCATTTCATTGATACCAGTTATATTCCCTATGCCTCAAGACAGTGCTTCGTACTAACGAAGGCACTTAAAGAATGCCTGTGGAGCCTTTACCAGTGTGGTTCAGATGGTTGGGCATCGTTGTCCCTCTAAGAGAAAGGTTGGAAGTTCAATGCCTGGTCAGGGCACGCACCTGGGTTGCAAGTTTTGTCCCAACTCAGGCCAAGTGCTAGGGGCAGCTGACCGGAGTTTCCCTCTCACATCTGTGTTTCTCTCCCACTCTTTTTCTCTCCCCCTCTCTAAAAATAAAATCTTTTTGAAAAAGAACACTTATGGAGTAAGATGTAGCTAACAGTGAGAACATTCAGCATATGGAAATTTGAGTTCTTTAACATAATAGTTTCTACAAAACATTTAGGTGTTTCTTTAGGAATCAGTGTGCCTTACCCCAAAATGTAAAGCATTGAAACTAAAAGAGACTAAAACATGTTCTCTCCAAAATTACATACAAATGGTAAAATAAAGGTATTCTGTTGTTTGCTTTAGGCATGGTGGAAATACTTTCTAAGCCTATAAAATATATCATGTTGAATTTTATTTATAATTAGGGGTCATGATTCCTAAAATAAAAATAAAGATAAACACAAATATACTTGGGAAAATGACAGGATATTTGATATAGGGCCTATTTTTGAAAATTTTATTTCCCATTTCACAAGTCTCAAATTAGCCCACAAGTGAAACACGGTGATCCTAGGTAAAAGGTGTCTTGATTTACTTACTCATGGTTTTAAAGATGAATAGTTAAAGTGAGAAATAAAGACTAATTAAGAATAAGCTCAAGGGTGAGACATGCTATTTGAGTTGTATTGCAAGAGCATGGCAGACTAACAGATGTGTCTGTGCTTAGTTTCAGAATGGCTGCGGTTACTGCCTTTCCTCGGTGTACTTGCACTGCTGGGCTACCTTGCAGTTCGTCCATTCCTCCCAAAGAAAAAGCAGCAGAAGGATAGCTTGATTAATCTTAAAATACAAAAGGAAAATCCCAAAGTGGTGAATGAAATAAACATTGAAGATTTGTGTCTTACGAAAGCAGCTTATTGTAGGTGTTGGCGTTCTAAGACGGTAAGATGTCCATTTACATGTACACTACAGTTTTGTGTAGTTGAAATGTTTTCCATCTGAACTTACCAGTTTTGAGGTTCTGAAGGATGAGCGGTTCTTCCATAGTGTTCAGTACTGAAAGTCTATGTCCTAAATTAAAGTTTGCCTTTTATGATCCATACTGCTTACATTAGAAAAGTTAGAGCAGTGAGGAAGGATAGAAATCTGATTTTTTTGTATTACCGTGTTTCAGCAGTTAGCTAGAGCAACTCATAATTTAAAAAATACACCTATGGTATGAGAGGACATAGGGTTAGTGAAGAGTTTAAGCTTTAGATTCCCAATAAAATGTGTTCAAAGCTGATGTCTGCCACTTACAGTATGACTTTTGGCAAGTTACTTAATATTTAATCTTTGATTTTTAAATCTGATAATATATCAGCATCACAGACATTTTCAAGGGTTAATGAGATGTTCGTACAGGGTCCAATAGCAGGAGCCAGTAAATGTCTTTATGAGATCTGTGTTCTTCTACTCCTTTGACCAGAGGTTATTTGAGATTTTAAGGACAGTAATGTTCATCATGTCATCCTTTGTAACAGCAAAGTGTTAGAGGCAATCTAGAATCTGATAATGGGGATGATTAAAGTATGTGTAATAAAAATGATGGGATGTTAGGAAGCCACTACAAATAATACTTTTAAAGACTGTTTAATGACATGAAAGCATAATATAATACAACTAAGACAACATATTTCTGTACTCATTTTTGTTTAAAAATGCAGAGGAAAAATATACTAAAATGTTACTTGTTACCAATGAGTCAGTTTTTAAAATTTGATTTTTTTGGAAAAGATTACAATTTGCATGCATTTTATACTAAAAAACACTTTGACTATATTTTGAATTTATTGTACTTGAATTTAAATAAGTAAATAAGTGAGCTCAAATTTAGAGCCCCACAGAGAACAAAAACTCCTTTGATCCTCTTTTAAACAAATTTTATTGACTCATATGGAATCATCTAAAACTTTTTATTTAAAGTCTATACCAAATACTGAGTTAACTATTTAAAATTGTTAGGTTTGTTGTGGTATTGGAATGTAATTAGCATAATGTAAAGTATATCTTTTACTCCGGAAAGCTATCTGCTTCTTTTTTAAAGTAATTGCTTTCTTTTTAAAAGCATTTCACAAATTTCTACCTATTGAATCATTTTAAAATTAACACTTGTAATTCTTTTTCCTTTCTAGTTTCCTGCCTGTGATGGTTCACATATTAAACACAATGAACTGACAGGAGATAATGTGGGCCCACTGATACTGAGGAAGAAAGAAGTATAGTAGTAATGAACTAGGCTAAAATTCAGTCGTGTGCTGTGAAATCTTATAATGTTATTTTTTCGTTCTCTGTGCATAGATCTTTCAAATGGTGGTCTTAATTATTACTACTGATTGAGTAATTGTTTCTGCCAGTTTATTCTTACAGTACTCTTTATATTTGATACTCCATACATTCAATCATTTATATAGAAATTAAATTGTGCAGCCCTTTTATTCTTACTTCAAAGAATTCATATATCTTCCTACAGTAAAACCAACACTTCTGATTTTAATTAATTGAGAAAAATATAAGTGTTAGGCAATGAATGCAAAAGTATTTCTTTGAATATCAATTTTTTCAACAGAATGTGTAATTTAAATTTTTTCCCTACTCTATTAAATATGTTACTTTACAGTTCTTTTATGTTTTTGTTGAAGAGTTTGTTTACTTTCCGGTCTTCTACCCTCCATTCTTTTAAGATTAATAAGAAAAATATTGCTGTCAAGAATTAGTTGAGTTTTCCAAGAGTTAAACTCTTTGCTTTATAGAGATTATTGACTAATAACTATAAATATCCCCATTTCAGGAAAGACATGAACTGGATATAAAAAGTTCCAACAAGGAGCATTTATTTACATTATACAAGTTGTATTTACTTTGCAGTAGGCTTGTTTGCATCTGTGTAGGCAATGTTGTGTATCTTGAGCCATTTGACTCACTGATGGGGTCAAGTGAGTCAACTCCTGAGTTGCTGAAATTTGAAGGTCAATTAGAAATAAATATTAAAATAATAAGTAGTTGTCGAAATTATGTTTATGTGAACATTTTCCTCTTTATAACCATGTAAACCGATAAACAGGATACAAAAAGTTTGCAAAATAAACTTGCTGGAGAATCTTTAAAATTTTTGTAATTTTTTAGCCTGAGTCTATTTAGTTTAATTTAATGTACAGTTCTTGTATTATTAACTTTTCTTAAGTCTGTCTATTTAAAGGTAAAATTCGATCAGTTCACTATGCTATTTTTATATATGAAGAAGGTACAGGAAGGAGGCAGACATATGTAATTCTTCTGCCAATTAGAATCGAAGCTAATAGTTATTGAGCACTTAACACATAATAAACACTACACCAAGCACGGGACCTGGATTTTTATTACATGTAATGTCAATAGGTTCTGTCATGGGATCCTGACTTTCACATGACCAACATCAGGAATTTTTAAGTCAGCGTTAGTTGTGCTTTTGAAAAGTTTTATAAGGCGTTAAGTCCGACATTGTTACTCTTCCCTCACCTGTGAGGAGGGATAATATAACATTGCTGTCACTTTGATTCTGGGTATTTTTCCCTGAGACCTTTTCTTCTAAAGGGGCTTTACTGTCAGGTGAACCATTTATTTTTACACAGATGGGCACAAGACTTTGGGAAAAATCCTCCTCACCAAAAGTTTGACTAGCCTGGTCTGGGGTCCATTTTTAAATGCTTTTCTTTAAAACCGTTCACTGTGACTCACAGCAAAATGCTTACTACATTTAGGTGTCCTAGTGGTTCCTGTACTTAGATTTCATAGGAGAAGGGAAAATTTCCTAAAAAAGTCCAGACTAAAATGAAATTATCAGCTTTACATGTTGTCCAATTCAAGAACATTTAAAAAATTGAAAACACTAATTATCTCATAAAAGGTAATTTTCACACCCCAAAGGTAAGAGGCACCCTCCCAGTAAAGCACCCCCACCACTCACATTTTTCAGTGGTTTCTGGTGAAGAGCTGTGCCGAAATAGTTTTCCCACCTGTGCAAATTTTTCAGCAGCCTGAGGCTGGTAGCAAAATTTTAAAAATAATATTATGTGTCATGATTAGTTGCTGTCACTTCTGCTTGTAAATTCATAGGATTCCATCATGTCTTCCTTAAAAAAATAGACATCTTATAAGCAACTGCATCTGAATTAATACAAGATAACTTAGCTCTTGTATTGTACATATCTTGGGTTTTGAAACCTTCAAGAAACAGCCCTAGTTGTTACTGTGTCTCATGATTGTTTTGAGGATGGCTTCTTGCCCAGCAGACACTCATCGCCTGATTCAGCAAAGGAGCACTGCCAGTACGTAAATAGGTGGCCAAAACTGTTGAGCAGGCTGGAGGTATTAATGATTCATTCATATGGATAATTAAGGAAGTTGTATGATGAAAAGCACATTACAAATCAGTTTTGAATTCAATGCCTCATGACTCATTAAATTGCTTAATGTCTTTTGTAACCTAATTTGTTAATTTATGCAAGCTAATGAAGCCGTCTGCTGATCTATGTAGTTCAACCTTATATAATCTTTCGAAACATGCTATCAGACTCTTCCTCTGCAAAGGGAGTTTTACTTTCTCAAAACTCTGGGGTTCAATAGGGTCCTTAAATTATAGTGGATATATTTTTAAACATTTCATTAATTTTGGAGTTGGGGGAAGAGAGGGAGAAAAGAGAAACATCAATGTGAGAAACGTCAATTGTTCCCTCTTCCAGACCCCCAGCTGGGGACCTGGCATGCAATCCAGGCATGTGCCCTGACCGGGAATTGAACCAGTGACCTTTCACTTTTCTGGACCAAGCCCAACCTACCAAGCCACACCAGTCAGGGTGGATATTTTTTGTACTACCTGCCAAAAGAATCTAACTAATTGCCCTTCATTCATTTAGAATCCAGTTGTGACAGCATCACCAATCTGGAGAAAACCAGGAGAGATGGACTAGTAATACTCATATACTTTACTCAGAAGTGATTGTCTCGGAGCCCCATATCCAGAGTCTCCTTTTTCTTACCTCATACCTGATTGTCCTATTTCTGCTCCTGAACAAATCCCAAGTGTCTGCAGGGTCCTGTTAGAGGTAGGGGAACAATAATGTGACAACTGACCACAGGGAACCAAACAAAATTAAATGTGAATATAAAAAGCATAGCACCTCAAGACCATTAAATATAGGATCCTGTGCACCACAGTCCTTGAGAGCATGACTGTCATTGTATTGTACAAGTGATGTCTGATGATGTAATTGAATATAAGTACTATATAGTATTTAAGACAGGATATGTGTTATATTTGATGATAGCGTGCTCCACTTCAAATAGTTAAAAGCTTCATGCTTAGAGTGGTAGGTAGTGGTGAGAAGTTTGTACAGAAAATAGCTTGACTCATTTTTTACTATTTAGGAGTTTATCATTGGAAGTTTTTCCATTCAACTGAAACTCTTCAAGTTTCATGATTGTAATCCACTACAAAATTTAATTTGTTAACATATGAGGAAAACTAAAGGAATAGTGATTTACACTACATCGATTCTGTTACATGACCTCCTCCCTTTTCGGAAGGATTAAAATCCTTTTGCTAACTGCCTCACTGCTGGCCATTGCTGTCCCTTTGCACCAGAGGTTGGAATGTAAAAAACTCCCATAGCTGTTTTTTGTTTGTTTGCTTGCTTTTTTTTTTTTAAGCCATGCTACATTATCTCAGGTTGTGTTTTTGCCATAAAAGTCTTTTACTGGAAGCTCATTTTCTTTCATGTTCACACAATCTACTTTTATTTTTTGCTTCGATTTTGTAAAGTCATGCATAGCAATCATTATTGTAATATAAAAAGTAGTCCATATTAGTTATTAGCAATTGCATTACACAGTTTTATATTAGTTACAGTCTTGAAGAACATTGCAAATCTGTTAGATAGGCATATTTATGTCTTTTGGTCAGAAGACATCATTCTCTAACTCTTCCTTGGTTTAAGTGCTTGACTCTTTGCTTGTAGAAAGAGTATACCTGTGATTCTGTTCTCATAGAGCACTATTGTCAAATACGTCAGTCACAATGTTAACAAATTCCTGATCTCTATTGTAAGAGTGTAATTTTCCAAAATAATATAGAAAAGGGGAAGGGGGTAATAAATTGCATAATTACAGAGATGAACCTGTACTAGTATAAAAATAAAAATGTTAACAAACAATTCACTAAGTTTTTTAATTTCTTGTAATTTTCCATTAGTATTCACCATGCATTCCTCTACATTATCACACTAAATATAGGAATCAATAACACCCATTCAAGAAATTTAAGAAACTCAAAACTTAGAAGTACAGAATTTTCAACTATATTTGAATTCAGCCTAGAAGTGAAATAAAATGAAAATAGAAATGTGTTCACTTTAAAATGCTGTGTGAAACTGCACAGCAACACACTGGAAACTACAGAGGAAATGTGTAATTCCCAGAAAAACAAATGATGGAAAGTATCCCAAGGTGAAATTTAAATGTTAATGGAACAGTATCAAATAAAAATGGAAACGTGATTTTAAAAAGCAATCCATAATTTAAAAAGTGCTAGGGGTGCAAGAAAGATGATCCCAATGTTATTTAAACAATCTCAATTGTTTTTAAAGGGAAAAACTCCCCAATTAATTTTATTTGGCTTGTGTAACATTAGTATGAATATCTGAAAAACAAAAGATGAAAAAATTCATATACTGATGTAACATAAACATGGGTGAAAATACTAAACAAAAATGTAGCAACTTCTGGTCAAGATGGCAGCATAGGCAGACATGGCTTGCCTCTTTACAACCACATCAAAATTACAACCAAAGTATAGAATAACCATCATTCAGAATCATCAGATATCAAGTTTAGTGGAAATCTGACAACTATGGAATTAAAGAAAGCACATCCACATACACTGGTAGGAGGGGCACAGCTGTGGAACAGGCTGGTCCCTTACACACATGGGGTGGGTAAATATTTGGCAGGGATATCTCAGGAGCGAGGAGTCCCAGCTATGCATCAGGCCCCCCAGACCAAGGCTCCTGTGTCAGGAAGATAAGTCCCCATAACTTCTAGTGGCAAAAAGCAGTGGGAATTGAGTCAATGGAAGAAATTTCTGGAGCTCCAAGCAGTTCCTCTTACAGAACTCACACATGGATTCACCTACTCAGATTCACTCCATCTGAGATCCAGCACTGGGGGAGCAACTTGAAAGTCACCAGTGGTATACAGGAAGATGCTCAAATATCTTCCTAGCATCAAGCTGAGTAGAAGCCATTGTCCCTTTTCTAAACCTTCGTCCCACAAAGTCAGCAAGCTGGTGTTTTATCTGAGACACCATCAATGTGCATAAAACACTGTTTGACCAGCCTTAAAGATGCCCAGAGACTCTGCATCACCCAACTTATGAATTCATCCACTCTGCTTTTCCATATCAGTGGTTGGTGTTGGCTCATGCTAAACAACTTCCTAAATCCTTTCAAACAAGCAACAGCTGGTCATCGTGAGCCCCACTAGCAGTCATCCTATATTCACAGCTTGGCTTCATCTGGGAATCTCTAAGCCCAGCACAAGCAGCAGTCATCTCACATTTCTTTATAGCTCAGGCAGGGTGACCCTGGGCAAAACGCAGGTGGCAGCTGACCTTGTTCTGCACCAAACTCCTGGGCTTACACACCCCATAGACAGTTACAGACCATGTCCGAGCACTACTACCCGACCTCTGCACAGCTCATTCTCCACAGAGGGTGGAGGTTGGTGGTTGGTAAGTGTTCACAGCCAATCCTTGTAGCCGACTGGCCTGTGTAAATCTCTCCAACTGATCTACCAACAGCAACCAAGGCTCAACTACAAGAAGAGGGTGTACTCAGCACACACAAAGGGTATACCTTGAGTACCCAGCTTAGGTGAAAGGGGAGGCTGTGCTCCTGGACCCTGCAGGACACCTACTGTAATAGGCCACGATCTTAAGACACTAATTCAAAGCAGCTCTATGTAATATATAGAAACAAACACAAGGAGGCTGCCAAAACAAGGAGACAAGAAACATGGCCCAAATAAAAGAGCAGATCAAAACTCCAGAAAAAGAGCTAAGTGAAATGGAGATAAGCAATCCATCAGATGCAGAGTTCAAAATACTGGTTATAAAGATGCTCAAGGAACTTGGTGAGGACCTCAACAGCATAAAAAAGATATAGTCAGAAATGAAGGATATACTAGTTGAAATAAAGAACAATTTACAGGGAAACAACAGTAGAGTGGATGAAGCTGAGAATCAAATCAATGATTTGGAACATAAGGAGCAAAAAACAATTTTTCCAATCAGAACAAGAAGGGAAAAGAATCTGAAAAATGAGGGTAGCATAAGCAGCCTCTGGGACAACTTCAAGAGGTATAACATTAACATTATAGGTATGCCAGAGAGAGAAGAGAAAGAGCAATAAATTTTTCTATTTGAAAAATTAATGAAAGAAAACTTCCCTAATTTGATGAAGGGAATAGACATACAACTCCAGGAAAGACAGAGAGTCCCAAACATGATGGATGCAAAGAGGCCCACTCCAAGATACATCATAATTAAAATGCTGGAGGTTAAAGACAAAGAGAATCTTAAAAGTAGCAAGAGAAACGTTAGTATCTTCAGGGAAGTTCCCATAAGGCTGTCAGCTGATTTCTTAAAAGAAACTTTGCAGGCTACAAGGGACTGGCAAGAAATATTCAAAGTCATGAAAAGCATGGCCTCCAGCCAAAGTTGCCCTACCCAGCAAAGCTATCATTTAGAATTGAAGGGTAGTTTAGTTTTTTCCTAGACAAAAAAAAAAAAAACAAAAAAAAACCCCCAAAAACCTAAAGGAGTTCATCATCACCAAACCATTAATATATGAAATATTAAAGGGACTCATTTAAGAAAAAGATCAAAACTATGAACAATAAAATGGCAAACAATACAAATCTATCAACAGTGAATCTAAAAAACAAATTAAGCAAACAAGAACAGAGATAGAATTATGAATACAGAGAGTCCTTTGGTGGTTGTCAGTTGGGAGGGTGACTGGGGGGAATGGATGAAGAGGTGAGGGCATTAAGAAGAACAAATAGGTAGTTACAGCATAGCCATGGGGGTGTTAAAGTACAGTATAGGATATGGAATAGCCAAAAAACTTACATGCATGACCCACAGACATGCATGACCCATAGACATGAACAAAGTAGGTGGAATTGCCTGAGGGTATGGAGTGGGTGCTGGGTGGAGGGGGGGCAAAGGACAACTGTAATAAGCATAATCAATAAAATATAATTAAATTTGATGCCAAAAATTGTAGCACCATAAAACACTCAAACAAAAGCTAATGCACAATTGAAAAGAGAATTGTCTTCCAGAAATTCAAGCATTTTAATCTCAGTAATTCTATCAACACAATCAATTATATAAATTAAAGAAAAGGAGAAAATATATCAAAAGATGCTAAAACGGCTATTTCTAAGATTTAACAATTATTCATAATGAAGATTCTTGAGTAAAATAGAAATTGAAGGAAACTGAACACAATGGAGATTATAAAAAGCCTACAAGTGTTGAAAGTCATAAACCTTTAAAATAAAAACCAGAATCTAGCAAAAATGTTAACTGTTATTATCTAATATTAAAGATTCACCTGAAGGATCCAGTGAGTGATTGAAAGGAATAAAAAATAATCATTACAAACACAGAAAAATAGAAAACTTTTGTTGATGTTATATACCTAGGAAACCATGCAGATTAGGAAAAACAAAGATACTTGAAAAACACAATAAATATACACATTTTAATAGCAATAAGCACTTTGAAATGCTAATGGTAAAATACTTTGTTCACAATAGCAAAAGAAAAATATGATAATAATGTTAAAATAAATTTACCAAGAAATGTACAAGACATGTAAGAAAAAAACAGCTATAAAAATCAATTACTAAAAGCAATGGATTGAGATTTAATAGCATGAAAAAGTTATAAAAGTGTCTCTTAAAATTAATGTATAAGTCAATAAAATTCACATTAGAATAAAAAGCATTTAAAATTGGATTAAATTGTCTTAAAATTCTTACCGAAGAGTCAGAAAATTGCACAAAAATAAAGACTATTGAGGGGAATTTTACTCATGAGATAGCAGCACATACTCTAAAGCCACTGGACTAAAGTCAATAGACTAATAATTGCATTAAATAAGAATAAAAAAGATAGAAGAGCACTGAGATTCAAGATATAGATGAAACTATAATATTTGACAAATGTGGTGTTTCAATTCAAAGAGAAAATATTGAAAGTCCAATTTGCACTAAAGACTTCCATGTGAACCACAAAGTGATTTAAAAAATCATTTTAAAGAGGGAGTAGGGAGATGGTACAGGGAAAGAGAAGAGGAAACTAAAGGCAGAGACAACCGACCATATTTTGCCATGTGTAATGCACACCTGTGGATAATGCACACCTGTGGATAATGCACACCTGTGGTTTTGGCCTAAACTTTCAGAAAAAAATCTTTCATTTTAATTTTTTAATTTATTTATATTTAGATACTTATTTTTTGTATTCTAAAAGAATTGTAACATATGATACAAGAAATTTTATGTAACATTAACTACTAAATGCAAGAATAGATACAAAATATTTCTGGCACTACCCTTGAATAATGCACATCCTTATTTTTCCCTCAAAAACTTGGGCAAAAAAAGTATGCATTACACATGGCAAGATATTGTGTGTGACAAAAAGTAACACATGCAACAAAACAGAAACAAAGTCAAATATCAATAATACGTAATAAATATGGGGGAAATTTCAATGTGGATTACAAAGAGTTAACACCGATACCATACAAATATATTATTATGTAATATATAGTAATACATACCGAACAATTGCAGGGGCAACTTTGCCTGCAAAGTCCCCCCGTCTGCCACAGATGAAAGTGAACTACCAAGACATGATCTGCTTGGGGAGGAGTGGTGGCCAATCTCTCAGAGGAGAAAGGCCTAGAGCCCCTTCCCCAATGGCTTTTGTTGGGTTGTAACATACAGGAATACAGGAGGCAAGGATCAAACAGTAGATAACATTTCAAAGAAATCTGAGGGCTTTGTCTGAGTCAGTGTTTGTCACGAAAGGGGGCTGCAGAAACTTTGGGAGACATACTCATTTTCTGCTCGGACCCTTATGAATGAAAGCACTCTTAGCAAAGCAGGCTTCACAGGACTTTTAGGAATTCTTTCTTATGCCTGATCACCCTGGATCCCGCTCTAGCCAATGAGGGGCTGCACTGCCTCCCCCAACATAGGTTTTAGGCTTAAGTGGATTAGAGCCAAGAAGCACTTCTCCCAGCTGGAAATGGGGATTCAGGCTATGTCAGAATAGCCAGGGGGGTGAGGGTCCATCACTCCCTCTTTGTTGCAGCCCCCAGAGTCCTTCCATGATGGCCTCCCAGGTGATCGTGTCTGGCTTAGGTTACCCCTCCCATCTGAGGGGTCTTACCCATCTCTGACTAACCCAGGAAGCACTGGGGGCAGAGATGGATGAAGCAGAAGCAGCGCTGCTGCCAGAGACAAGCTTTGTCTCCTTAGTGGCTTGCAGTCTGGAGGTTGCTCACTTGGCTTTAGCCATGGGGAACAGTTCCCAATAAACAATAAGTACATAAAAATGGATAGTGTGGGTAGAAGAAATGTTCAAACCTATAGAGAATTTCTGAGTTTATCTGAACCACATTGACAAAGATGCTGGGAAGCAAGATCTTAAAAGCTCTGGAAAATGACAGTTTTGCAGTTTCTTTTATGTCTTCGGGATTAAGAGGGAATGTCGGAAAGGTAACACAATTGAGGAGAAAACAAGCCAAGGACTGGATTACCAGATAGTTGTTAACAAGATTATGCGCACTCTTCAGAAAGTTAAGTTTCAGAGGGGTCTAGAAAAAGAGGCGTTTCAAAGGTGTAACCTGAAGCACTGAAACAATGGGCAGGGCTTGTTTAAAGTGGAGAGAAACCATTTATCAGCCTGGGGTGAGACTGCCCACCATGACCTGCCTAGTTAGGGCTTCATGGTCAGATTATCCTGTGAAGTTACTTTTGGTAGTATTTATTACAGACCCCTTTTTTCATCCCCAATGATGAGAAATATGAACCATTACAGTCCCTTTAGAAATCCATTCGGTAACACTTGGAAGAAAAGATATTCTGTGTCATATTCATATATATGTATATATGAATATACGAATATATGAATGTGTATATATTCATAATGTATATTTTTAAAATTATGACACTGATCTTAGTGAAAAATACAAATTAGAGCCATTTTAGTTGGCTCAATATTGCTATGCAGTAGTGAAAAAAACAAGATGACTACTGCATGTTGAATCCCATCACTGTGTGTATGTGTGTACATAAGAGGGGGACCCCCCCACAAGAAGGATTATCTTATGGAGGGTGGGCCCCTTGTAATACAGGCTTCCCCCACTAGCTGAGTGTTCTAGGAACCCATCTGTATCAGTGCGCCAGCTGGCGTTGTAGTGAAAGGCTGCATCCGGCTTCAGTAAATTTTTTTGGCAGACATTTTCAACACATTTGCCCATTTTGTGATGGGGTGATTTACAATTGCACCTACCCAAACCTCCCTGAGTGTTCAGCAGTTTTTGACTCCAAATGGCAACACCTTCATGCTCCACCCTTCCTATTCACCTGATCTTTCCCTGAGTGACTTTTTTTATTTCCCTGGATGAAAAATTTGCTGATATTGAAGAAGTGAAACAAAAAATGGCAGAAGCACCATAAGGTATCAAAATTGATGAGTTCAAAAACTGTTCTGAGTAGTGGAAAAAAAGTCTTGATAGGTGTATTGCATCAAATGGAGAGTATTTTGAAAGTGAACGAAGTTTGAGCATGTAAGTGTAAATACACAATATTTTATAAATAAATCCCCCTTTTTTGGTGTCTCTCTTCATTTATACACTTTTGTTTTGGGGTCATTATGTGTGTGTCTGTATATATGTTTGCATACAACTGTAGGAGCATGGTTAAAAATGAAGATAATCTACTTTAAGGAAGATGACCTTATTTGTCTGGGGAGGGTAGAGATGGGAATTTGGGTAAAAGAAGAGAGGAGAAAGGAGAAAGAGAGCAAACTAAAAGGAAAGCAAGATACAAAATTCCATGTATGTTGTCTCATTTGGAAACTATATAAATTAAACATATGTATACACAATACAAAAATTTAAAAAATTGATTGGATTTGATAAGGTGAAGGTTATTGATGATTGTACTGTGAACAATTTTAGTTAAATGGGAGCAAAGAACGAAGTAAAGTTTCTATTAGAGCAGTTTTATAATAAATAGGTAGTAACAGAGCAGACTACAATAAACCGAAACTTTACCAAACTAATCCTAGTAAAAAAGAGGCTTAAAAAATGAGTATAAATAATTAACAATGGTGAGCAAAAATGAATGAAGAAAGTCACTGCATGTGATGATTATAAGGCAAAGTCGGCCTTTGCTATACTGGGCCCCCAAGTTGTTCATTCACAGGAGACTGAGACCTCTATTAGCTCAAATTCCGCTGGCACCAAACCAAAATTTTACACACCCAGTTGTTTTAGACATAGCCTGAACAAGCAGATTTTTTAGCCATTTAGAGCTCGCCTGCTTTACATAACATGTGAAAACTGTGTCTGAGATCTGCTTGCCACAGATAGAATGAACCTTGGGCTATAAAGATCCTGAGCTGCTGCTGCCCTTTGGAATTCTCTGACCTGGAGACGCTCCGCCATGCTGTGGCATGGCATCATACGTAAGCCCCCTCAACACAAAACCCCTCTCTACTGCAGGAGTTTCCTTGCCCTCTTCCCCTTCTGGATGCTGGCCCCCAAGGCTTTATGCTTTTGGAGGGTCTCCTGCAGTTAGGGCCTTCCCCAGCGTGCAGACTCGACCTATTACCCAAATAAAGCTTGTGTGCTAGTGCCACCTCGTGGCCATATATTTTTCCTAGCTCAGCCCTGAAATGTTCCAACTTACCCCCTTATAGTGCATAATAGTAAGAATAAAAATTCACTAAGAAGACGCATGCATTCTCAAAATTATAGATATCTAAAAACATATCCCCCAAGTAAGTAAATCCAAATCAAATGACAGTAAAATTTTCATTTACAAGGTAAATCATAAAGACAGTTAAAAAAAGTGGTTGCAATTCAATTCCAATACAAAACAGACGCGGAGAGGTGTGTGTTAAGCACCCAGGTGATCCACTGGGGGATCTCGGTAACCTCTTGTTTAGTGTTGATGGCTTCATTTAAAGTAGACAAGTGTAGTAGCCATGGCTGAGCATGGCATCCCGCATTCAGTGGATGTGGAATGGAGCTGAGGGTGACAGGAATGTAGAACAGACAGCACGTGGGTAGTAGAGAAAGAAGATGATCAGTTGAGGGTGCAAGACCAGCTGCCAAGCTAAGGGGTGCATTTCATTTCACCGACAAAGCCAACCAGAATTCTGGAGGAGCTTTTCCTAGATGCATTGAAATTATATGGAGCAATAGATCCAAATGGCACGAGGAGTGGACAGTAGTGTACTCTGTAGTATATGTACTGTATGACTGAGACATTCCCTCACCAGCTTCAACCATCTCTGCTGGTTTGTTTGCAGCCAAGTTCCTCTGCAGTAATTGCCCTCAGACAAAAGGAACTATGTAGCCCGAGTTACACTCCCTCTTGAGGACAGTGCACATCTGAAGACCACTTTATAGGAGCGTATTATATTAATTGTTGCCAACAGACTTTTAAGTAATATGTTGTCAGTGAAAGAAAAAGAAAACTTGAGAGCTTGATGAGCTGATACAGGTCAGAACTGTTGGGGACCTGTTGGTGAGGGGACAGGAAATGATGATGTGGTCAGTGAGGGGGCCTCTGAACTTCAGAGGGTGAGCTGAGCCAAAAGCAACTGAGAAAAGTACTTAGTTTGCATCGGGACAGCCATATAGCCTGATGGATTACTTTAAACTTTCCTAGGGTATTTACAGATGAATTTTTGTTCTTGAAATGTGCAAATGCTAAGAGTACATTCTATTTTATATTGTTTTACTAAATTAGTTTTGCAATAAAAAAATCATAGAAAAGTTCTGTAGTCAAATCACATATTTATTAAGTCCTTGGTTCTATGTATTCTTCACATATTTGTACCTTTTTTCTCCCATGTAAGATAATTCATTTTCAAAAAAACAGGCAGGTGATGACAAATGAACTTTTAAGGACGTCCTGATCTTGTTAATTCCAGTTTTATTGTGTTTGGGTCACTTGGCGTTTCAGTAATCTGGGCCCCAGGATGTCAATAATTAGCGCTCCGTTTGGAGCTGTGATTAAGATGGCTAAGAACGCTATCGTCATCACATCCTTGGAGTACGCCGCCAGGTAGGGTGCGCTGGTCCTCGCAGTTTCTAGCGCCAGAGGACCTAATACAGCCTGCATTTGGGTGGGGGTGGGTGAGGGAAGGTGAAACATAGTGACAAATGTTACACAAAGTTAACACTTAATAAAAGCAATAAACAAACCCTAGTACTAACGAGCCATTTTCAATAGGTGGTGCTGCAAGAATTTTTAAAACATGCAATACCTGACTATATTTAGTCAGGGGCACTGACCTATTTTCCCTTAGATTGTCAAATTTAAAAATGACAACAGACAACACAATAGCAGTCTGGTATTGTGAATGAATGAATCAAAATTACAACTATTTTTTGTCAGATCCACAAAATATATAATATATGCATATATTTGGTGTGCCACAGAATTTCAGTAATTAGTGTATGTGGGCCATAAGATGAAAAAGGTTGAAAATAACTGTACTAGCCTGTTAGGAAAGAGGCATGAGTTAAAGTGCCAAAGGGTTTTCATGAATTATTCACTAATTCTCTATTCTTCCTAGCAAATATATCTGGAGGAAGAGTGAAATAGTGACATATCAGTGTGCAGACATTTGGGGGCCGACTTTGCATTTTTGTCATCTCAGCTTTCCACCATTTAAATGTATATATATGTTTGAGTGCTTGCATTACTCCCAGAACCTCAAACTTTTATTGAAGCAGCATGTTGCTTATTTGCTGTTACCAACCACTTGGGTCTTGGCTGTAACAAGACAGTGCAAAAACACGTAAGTTTCTTACAAGTTTCTTATGGTTCACTAGGATTTGGATAATCATCTTCTTGTTCTTCCAACTTGGGAGACAGTGTGATACAGTAAAACTGACATGGAGTTTGGAATCTACAAACTGAACACTGAGATTATATACTAACTTACCTAAGGTTATAGGCAAGTTAACATGGTACTCAAAACAACTAGTCCAGCCCCAGAGGCCTGCTCTCTAACCACACACACAGAGAATTTTGTTGTATGGGAGCTCAGAAGCTTTTGTTTTGGAATAACAATGGAGAAAAGAATCCCAGGGAATCAAGACATTATGCTGCCAGGTGAAAGAGCCTGCCAATAAGTAATAATACCTTTTTTTGTAGGAGGGAAGGTCATTGAATGAGAGGACAAAATTACGTCCTTCACACATTCGTTCTTGTAAGCATGCAATGGTTGTTTATTGTGTACTTCTTGCTTCCTGGGGACTGTGCTAAATGCTAGGGAAAAACGATGGGAAAAAGACCACAGAGATGGTTCCTATCCTCTTCCTGTGATGTAATGGGAATGGTCAGTCAGTAGTCATACTATTAGATGTATTAGTCATACATCTAATAGTCATACAAAATAAGTGTGTAATTAATAATAATATATGTGCATTCATCTGTGGTGGAGTAGGGGAAAGGGTTAGAAAAGATATATTTTAAAGTGAATCAATGTGTCTCTACTTTAAAATAAAAATATTCAGCTCTATAATATTTAGCAAAATACAAGGATTCCAATTTTCACAGATGTTCTTATTTTATATTTTGGGAAAACAGAAAAATGTTTTCGTAAGTTAAGAAAGTACTTATCGTAAAAATTATACTTTTGAATTTCAGAAGAATTGATTTTAAAACTGAGGTTTTAAAAGATTATATAAATCTTTTTTTTTTAATTTTAATTTTATTTAGTTATTTTTCAAGTACAGTTAGATTATATAAATCTTAATGAGTAGTTGTGATCAAGCATCTTACAAGTATGGCTAATAACCCATATTTTGTAATTGGGCAAACATTTGTCATTTAGAATTTTTAAAAATCAACAGTAAAATTATTAGAATTACTTAATATGTTCTTACCTGGACTGTTGCTTTGGGCATCCATGATAGAGCAATAAATATTTTCTCCTTAAGATTAAAACCAGCGAAAGACATCAATACAAATGTAAAAGAAATTCGAACCAATAACGCCAAACTCATGGTGGCGACACAAATGCCTACAAGCAGACAGAAGCAAATGTGAGTGACGCGGTCCTCAGGGAGAAGTGGCTCTTCGTGTCTGGAGATGTGATTTGTGAGTGTTGAAAACATTTTTGAGGTAATTGCCTCTTTCTGCCTTTATTTTCTAAGTAAAAATAACAATCATAAAAATGCAAAATGATTGAGACCTTGATGTAAAGTGCAAGAGATTATCTGATGATGGATGTACCACAAAAAATATATAATAAATGATATTTAATTCTCAGCTCACAGACTTTGAACTTTCACTATAAATAAAAGCACTCAAAGGGTGCCCATACTAGCTAATATTTCTCCTCAGAAAAGAATGCCAATCTCCACGTCCTCAGGTCCCTCAGCGAGGGGAGATAATGGTCTGTCTCTGGTAACCAAGAGCACACACAGGAGCAAGAAGAGCAAATGTATGTTAATGTCTCAGTGCGAGTGTCTGGAGACGGTGCTTGTGGCATTCAAAGACATACTGTAAATAAAAATAAAATTTATTCATAATTTCCTTAAATATTTCCAACTATTACATTTTTCATGCCTGTAATTATTCTTACCAATAGCATTTGATTTAAGAGATGCAACAGATACCTCCAATCCAACCAAACCAAAAAGAAGGGGTTGAAAAACATCCCAGGCAGTTGTAATGATTTTTTGGACGCTAATCTGTTGAAAGGAGTAATAAATACACTTTTAGTCATTATGGCACATAAAAGTAACTGCGTTCCAGAAATTTAAAGTCTATTTTAATGCATAAAATTCGGATATTTTATTTGTAGGAGAAATGGTAAAACAATAAAAATGAAAAGTTGCTTAATTCTTTTACTCAAACACTTAGGTGGAATTTGATGAAAAGAAATCCACAAAGCTGTAAAATAAAAATGTTTGGTAATTTTTCCATGAAATAAGGCCTTTGGAGACATGTTCTGATGGCTAAGGAAGCAGAACAAAGGCAGAACTGCAGCATTGCCCGATGAGAACATACTCAAGATCAGGCAAACGCCCCACTAACAATCACTTCGGAACCCAGTCCTATGAAAGTGAACCACTGGGAGAACAATTGTAGTTTTCAACCACTGGGAGAACAATTGCTAATCTGTTAGGCTGTTTTGCAATAACCCATTTTGAAAACTTCAAAGTTATTTTTTTCCTTAAAACCAAACCAAAACATACAGATTCTTATTAGGTTGCCTGCCCAGATTCCCCTTCTGGAAACAAATGTCTCCCAGTACCACTTCCCAGTGATGTGGTTACAACAGCAAAGCCCCTGTAGACAGACCAGTGCTCCGGCTCTTCTCCAGAAACTTGGATGAAGAGGTTTTAGCTTAATGTGGGTTTATCTATTTAAATGGAAGGTACATAAGACTTTGATATCCTTTGTTTGGGGCATAAATTACCTTTATAACTATTCCTTTTATGTCCGGATTTTCTGATTGCCATTTATAAAAGTGAAGTTTAAAAGAGGGAAGAACAAAGAAAAACCAGTATTGTTTTCCTTGTTATAGCACAGTATCTTATTTGTTATTTTCAATCCTTAAAGTCTAATCTTTTGCTGTCTGACTTTTTTATCATATAAAAGAGAATTCTAGTAGTTTTAATTTTATTTATGTAATTATAATTTAATAACCATTTAGTTCCATTTTTAATTCTGACTTTATTGGAATACTAACAAAAAGCCAGTATAGTTTTGGGTAGGGAACAGCTCAAGCTAATTCTAAAATTTATCTAAGAAAGAATATGGGTATAGGAAAGCCAAGAAATACCTTTAAAATAAATGAGAGAAAATTTATGTAAAACTATGAGTTATGGTTTAAGATAGACTTAAAGTAGAATACCTATAGGAAAGGATAAGTAAGATTAGATTCCAGAAATGACCTTAGATATATGTGAGGGTGTAGGTCATGTTAAAAGGGGCACTTAAAGGTCACTGAATAATTAATGGTAAGTCAATAAAAGATTTGCCCAAATTGACTAATTTGTATATGTTTATACGTGTATACATATATATGTGTGTATATATATATATGCATGAATACATATATAAACACACACATACACAACCTTATCTCAGACAGAGCATTCACAGAAATAAATTCCAGATGGATTAAAGAGCTAAATGCAAAAACAAAACAAAAACTACTAAAGTTTTAGATGACAATGTAGAAGATATTACAATGTTTATAATCTTATAGTCTTGAGTAAAAAAATCTTTCTTAAATAAGATACTAAATCCAAAGTGAAAAAAGGAAAAACGGACTGGTTTGACTCTAGAAAATTTTACTTCTGGACAAGAGACATCATCAACAAAATTATTACAGTACCATGGACTATATTCCGTGTGCTACACTAGGAAATTTTACTTCTGGACAAAAGACATCATCAACAAAATTATTACAGTACCATGGACTATATTCTGTGTGCTACACTTTACGTCACTGTGACTTACTTATGTTATAGATGGATGTTTGTACCTTTTACTGTCTTGCACCTTTTCCACCCCTTCCCTTATGCTCCTCCCCTCTGGCAACCATCAGTTTGTTCTCTGTATCTATGAATCTGCTTTTGTTTTACCTTGTTTGTTTTGTTGTCTATTTTTATTTTTAAAAGGTTTTATTTATTTATTTTTAGAGAGCGAGGAAGGGAAGGTGAAAGAGAGGGAGAGGAACATTTGTGTGAGAGACACCCACTGGTCGCCTCTCATATGCACCCTGACTGGGGACAGAACCCGTGACCCAGGCGTACACCCTGACTGGGAATGAACCCACAGCTTTTCCCTTTGCAAGATGATACCCAACCAACCAAGCCTCACTGCTCAGGCTGTTTTGTTTTTATATTACACGTATAAGTAAAAGAATACAGTATTTGTCTCTCCCTGTATGACTGATTTCACTTAGCTAAGTATCCTCTACCTACATCCATGTTGTTGCAAATGGCAAGATTTGGGTTTTTTTTTATGGCTGAGTAATATTTCATAAACAATGGTATATAGTTTTTACTCACTGAGGGGGCAAAGTATTAGGGAATCTCCTACACTGTTGTTAGTAAATAGTATAAATAAATAAAAACTTTTGAATGGATAATTTGGCAGTACCCAAATTATGAAATAGAAACATAACATTTCTAAATTCAGCAATTCTATTTCTAGGGATATATTCCATCAGAAGAGCTATACATTTGCAAAAAAACACATGAACGGGACCAGCACTGTTAGTAATAACGAACAATAAAAGTGATCTAAATGTCTACAAGTAGGGGACTGCTTAGAGGGAATGATTAATTCTGGGAAGGGGCATTAGATATTCGGGAGTAGTGGGGAAAAGGAGACTTTTACAACTGGGTCTACATGTAGGCCCCCTGTATTGTTTAATCTTTTAAGAGCATGTTTTCATGTATTAATTGTATAACTAAAATTCAATTAAGAAAATAATTAAATCGATAAAATAATATAATCATATTTCATAAAACTTGGGGAGAATTAGGCCTGATGTGATACCTGAGCTCCTGATTGTGCTTCTGTGCATGTGCAGGTTCATGTCCTGAATGCTTTATTCGCTATTTTTTTGTACACCTCCTCAAAGATACGAACTTCTAGAGTATCTTCCAACTAGAATGAGATTTCCTATTTTTGTACACCTCCTCAAAGATACGAACTTCTAGAGTATCTTCCAACTAGAATGAGATTTCCTAATTGTCCATTTCAATATAAAAAAATGCAGTGATTCTATTATTAAAAGTGGTGTGTTAAAACTATTTACCTTTCCGTTGGACCACTTCATTCCTCCAATGACCGTCAACATCAGTGTGCAGAGCCCTCCGGCTCCGTGTATGCCGAGGTGGGTGCTGCCCAGGACAGCAGTGATACACATACTCAGGATGAGGGCTGCTCTCTTCAGTGGAAGATTAGTCTAGATAAATTTTGACAAAATGAATTTATATTGAATCTATATTACAATATTTACATGGTTTATTATTTATTATTAGCCTTTGATACCATGTCTCTATAGGTTATTTGAGATAATGTCTAAAAATTTGGCTTTCTTCCTAACTAAATATTTTAGTGGACTTTGTAACAAGTGATGAAATTTGTAATTATTAAGATTATCTGCCACATCTCTGATACTAACATCAGTAAAGTGGTTAAAATATTTTAACTTGTCAGAGGAACAGTATTGTGAGAGATTCCTTTGATCTCTCTCCTTGAAGTTTGAACAGCTATAATTCAACAAAAGATTCCCTGTTTGACCCACAAACATGCCTGAGAGATTGGTGCATTGAGACATCTAAGATGGGCAGGTGGGAACAAATAGGGGATGTGATAAGGGAAAAGGGCTGAGACAGCTCTGAACATAGTTCTGCAGTGGGGGTGAGGGGGTGGGTATCTCACTGTGGAACCCATCCTGGAGAGGGGAAGAATCTGGTTGTGGCCAGCTCTTCACTCAGCTGGGATGAGCAAAGAGATTCAGTGGGCAGGCCTGCAGGAATGGGTAGTACCAGCTGCAGCTGCACACAGAGACCTGGGCAAGAACACAGCAAGGGGGTGTGGCAACATTCCAGACAGGGAAGCAAAGCCATGGAGACCTCCTGCCTCATAGCCTCCCACAGGTTGCCTCCCTTCACCCTTGGTGTTGGGTTTCAGAGCACATTTTCTGCAAACCTGACAACTGGTACTACAGAACTGTCTTTTTCCCCAAGCAAATGGTGCATTCTGTGACCGGTCCCTGGATTGGTGCATGGGGGGACCCCATGAGATCTGACATTGCCATTACCAGGAGGGCAAAACAAAGAAGCTGACTGTTTCCCCCAGTGCCTCCACCACCCTACCCCTAAACATCACAGCGACACTGATGGTAGTGTCTGGCTGTGGAGGACAGCACTGGGATTTCACAGAGCTAAAAACTTATGACTCAGCACCACCTATTGGAAAAGAATATGAAGATTTCTTATCAGCCTACTTGAGGAGTGCTAGATGCCTAGACAGAGAAGGAATCCATCAAATGCTATGAATAACCAAGGTAGAAAGGCAGCTAGAAAAGTAAATTAAAAAATCTCCAGAAAAAAAAACTTAGAGACATGAAAATATGTGACATAAATGACAGAAAATTCAAGATTGCTGTTCTGAAAATACTCAATGAGATGTGAGAAAATACAGACAGACAATTTAGTGTACTCAGAGAGTATTGAAAAAAAAAGAGTATTTACTGAAGAGACTGACACTTTACAAAGGAAGCAAACAGAAATTTTGGACATGTAGAACTCTTAAAAGAGATCAAGAATGAATTAGTGAGCATAGGGAATAGAGCCAACCAGATAGAGAAATAGATTATTGATATCAAAGATAGAAGTCTAGAAATAATGCAGAGTGAAGGAGAGACTTGAGCATTAAAAAAATGAGATAACTCTATAAAAACTATCCGATTCCATCAAATAGAGCAATATGAAAATAATAGGCACACCAGAAGAAGAGAGAGAAATAAGGGACTGGAGAGCCTATTCATACAAATAGTTGATGAGAACTTCCCAAACCCATGGAAAGAACCAGCCCTTGAATCCAAGAAGCAAACAGAACTAGTTACCTCAACACAAAGAGGTCTTCTCTAAGGCATATTGTATTAAAGCTGTCAAATATTAATGACAAAGAAACAATTTGCAAGGCAACATGGGAAAAGAAGAAAGTAATCTATAAAGGAAAGCCCATCATGTTATCATAGGACTTCTCAGCAGAAACTCTATAAGCCAGAAGAGAGTGGAACCAAATATTCAAACTACTGAAAGAAATTACCCAAGAAATATATATCCAGAAAAGTTATTTTTTAAATATGAAGGAGAAATAAAGCTGTTTCCAGACCAGAAGCTGAGGGAATTTAACACTAGATGACATTTATTGCAGGAAATACTCAAGGAGGTTTTTCTTCCTGAAACAAAAAACAAAGGTCATAAAACTATGAATAAGATCACCAACAAACATATAGCATAAACAGGAATAATCTGTGATAACAAAATCATAAAAAGGGGGAGCAAAAGTCTTAATTTACAAAGGAGGATGGAGATCAGATGCATTTAAAAGGAAAAGGACTACTGTATATATATATAAATTTTTTTCATAAATCTAATGTTAATCACATGAAAGACCTCCTCCAAAACAGAGATGCATACTTAAAAAAAGAGGAAACAGAGAAAAGAAGTGTGGAATAGCACCAAACAAAGATAACAGAATGAATCACAAAGGAAAAAAAAAAACAATGGATGCACAGAGCTACCAGGAAACAAAAGATACAATGGCTATAGGAAATCCTCACACATAAGTAATCAGCCTAAATGTAAATGGACTGAATTCACCAATAAAGAGGCACCAAGTAGCAGACTGAATAAAAAAACACAAGTCAACCATCTGCTGCCTTCAGGAGACATAAAGTGAAAAAGTTAGACTCACAGTGAAAGGATGAAAAATGATTCTCCAAGCATATAGCATCCACAGAAAAGAAGTTGTAATCATACTTACATCTGACAAAACAGATTTTAAGATAACAGTGGTAATAAGTAAAAAAGATGGACATTTTATAATGATAAAAGGGACATCATATCAAGAAGACATAAGGCTTCTTAATATACATGCTGTCTGCCCTGGCTGGGTGCTTCAGTTGGTTGGAGCATTGTCCCATGCACCGAAAAGGTTGTGGGTTTGATTTCCAGTCGCGGCACATGCCTAGGTTGTGGGTTTGGTCCCCAGTTGGTGTACATATGGGAGGCAACCAATCCATGTTTCTATCTCACACTGATGTTTCTCTTTCTCTCTCTCCCCCTAAAATCAATAAACATATCCTCAGGTGAGGATTAAATATATATATATATATATATATATATACATGTATGTATGTACATGTATACAACACACACACTCAATCAGATAACTGAAATACATAAGGCAACTACTATCAGAACTAAAGAGAAACAGACAAAAACACAATCATAGTTGGTGACCTTAGTAGTTCATTCACAGCTCTAGGTAGATCATCCAAACAGAAGAAAAATCAATAAATAAATATCGGCTTTAAATGATAAGTAGGGCAAATGAAAATAATTGACATCTATAGAGCCATTCACCCCAGAATATCACATAATACATTCTCCTCCAGTGCACATGGAACACCTCAAGGATAGAACATATGTTGGGTCACAAAACTAACATCAACAAATTCTTTGACCACAATGTTTGAAATTAGAAATTAACTGCATAAAGGATGTGAAGAAACCCACAAATAAATACAGACCAAACAACATATAACTAAAACAAAACTGGTTCAAAACAGAAATAAAAGGTGACACCAAATATATATAGAGATAATACAACATATCAGAACTTCTGGGATACAGCGAAAGCAGTAATAAGAAAGTTTATATTTTTACAGGCTTATTTCAAGAAACAAGAGAAATCCCAAGTAAACAACCTAACGTTGCATCTTAAGGAAGTAGAAAAGGAAGATCAAAAGCAACCCAGAGTCAACAGAAGAGAGAAAATAACAAAAATTAAAGCAGAATTGAATGAAATAGAGAACAAGAGATTATACAAAAAATTAATACAACAAGAAGCTGATTATTTGAAAAGATAATAAAATTGACACACCCCTGGCTAGGCTCACTAAAGAAAAAAAGAGAAAAAGACTCATATAAAAATCACAAATGAAAGAGGATAAGTGAAGACATCACAGTTATAAAAGGATTATACTAGAATACCATGAAATTGTATGGTACCAAATGCAATGACCTAGAAGAAATGAGCAAGTCCCTAGAAATACAACATTTTTAGAATGTGTCGTGAGGAATTGGAAAATATAAATAGATCAATAAACAGTGAAGAAATGGAAACAACCATTAAAAACCTCCCCCAAAATAAAAGTTCAGGACCAGATGGCTTCTCTCATGAATTCCACCAAATGTTCAGTGAAAACTTGATACCTATTCCTTCCAAGCTCTCACTAGAAACTGAAGAGAGGAAATATCTAATTTTATGAGGCCAATATAACCCTGATACCAAAACCTGGCAGGGATAACACAAAGAAAACTACAGGCCAATATCTCTGATGAATATAGATGCAAAAATCCTAAACAAAATACTAGCAAATCGAATACAACAATATGTTAAAAAAATAATATCACAATCAAATGGGATTCATTTCAGGGGTCCAAGGATGATTCAACACATGCAAATTTATCAGTGTAATACACCACATTAACAAAACAAAGAATAATATTTATACGATGTTATTAATAGATGCAAAAATAGGCACTTGATAGGATACAAAATCCATTTATGATTAAAACACTCAATAGAATGGGTATAGAAGGAAAGTACCTCAACATAAAAAACACCATATATAGCAAACCCTCAGTTAATATTATACTCAACAGTGAAAAACTGAAAGCTTTTTATCAAAAATCAGAAACAAGACAAGGATGCATACTCTCACCCTCTTATTCAACACAGTTCTGGAAGTCCTAGCCTGAGAAATCTGGCAACAGAAAGACATAAAAGCCATCCAAATTGGGAAGGAAGAAGTAAAAGTGTCACTTTTTGCAGATAACACAAATCCATTTTGTACATAGAAAACACTTAAGATTTCACCAAAAAAACCCATTAGAAACAATAAACAAATATAATAAAGTTGCAGGACACAGAATCAATGTACAAAAATCCACTGTTTTCCTATATACTAATAACGAAACTTCAGAAAACGAAATTCCTTTTGCAGTTGCAACCAAAGGAAAAAACACCTAGAAAAAAACTTAACAAAGGATGTGAAAAACCTATATACTGAACTACAAATTGTTATTAAAAGAGATTGAAAAAGATAGCATGAAATGGAAAGATATTCTGCATTTATAGATTGGTAGAATCAATAGAGTTAAA